AATCGCAGTGCCTGATTCATACTGTATAACTGCACCCCCCCCTTCATGTCAGTCGCCTACGAGCATCATTAGGACAGCCATGGCACCACAGAATTTAAGCCCAATTCAGACATGCAACATGGTCTTTTATACGATGCACCACAGGCTTTTAAATACCACCGACCCATGGCCTGTTCAAATGGTCATCTAGAGTACAACGGTAAGGGACGGTGCGTCTCTGCAGTATAAATCCGGTATTTGGAATTGAAATATAAAGTTCACCGCGCGAATTGAAAACCTCTTATAATCCGTGATATCTACCACTGAGCATCGCAGTTATGTTTTGTCAATCTATGTGCCCATGGATAACAGAAAATTTTCTTAGTGCTCGAACACATCGTCATTCGGTCTCATTTGGAGATGGGCTTTTGCATCCGACGTAGTTCAGGTGTTTAAATATTTTGTGGTCTGCTCAGATGGTCCCCTCTCCCCCCAGACGGATGGAAGACAGGGGCGATTGGTTTTTTCAGTCAGCTATTTTCTCCATCAATTACAATTTAAGTGAACTTCTGCCTCTAGAGGTGAAAAATAATTCCAACTGATTGGCCGTTTTTCCTCCAAGGCTATTTTACAGTGTCAGCATTATCTATATGACATTGCAGATATGCAAATGACTGCCTTTCAGGTGAAAGCTCAATTTCCTAGGGTTTTCCTCTAATCCATCTGATATTTTCAACACTGTATTTTGTGAACTAAATGTAAAATTTCTATCATATATTCCTATATACTAATTTCTGTTATATATGCTGTTTCCATTAAACGGGGTCTTGCTGGATTTATGTAAAATACTGAAACGTATTTTGGTAAAATACTGTGATAAGGTCTAAAAGTAGAATGCGGTGAACCTTATGCTGTCAATCAATTTAGGGAGTCTTCTGTCATTCACAGCGGTTGGTGCTGTGAAGTCGGAAGACCTTCGGAGTAAGCTTGAAAGCTATTCATAGACTGCATGGAAAAGTGTATGTTGGGAATAACAAAAAAAAGGTATGAAGATGAATGTATGCATGACAGCACAAGCAAAAGTCTGCGCTACCGTTTTTATGGTAATGAGGCTAAAGAGGCAACGGGACATGTCACGCTGCAAGAAGAACCGACCATCGCTGGACCAGCGAGACATTAGACTCAGTGTTATGAGAACGCAAACGGCTTGAACAAGAAGAGAAGAAGAAATTCGCTGGATAAAGATGGATAATTATTGGAAAAGTTTTGGAGAAGCTTTCGTCCGGCACTGAATCGACCAGTGTTGATAATGAAAACGATTCCATGTCTGATTAGGATCTACAAAATGCAATGGGCATGAAGATGACCAATACAACGAGTCAATCCTCTGAAAAGCGGATATAATAATGATCAACGCGAAGAACTGAGCAGACCAATTTTCGCAATCACTAACGAGACAACTGTTATCAATAATTTGCGCTGAGGGATCCTGCCTGTTGATGAAAAAAATTATATCTTACGTACAAGTGAAAAGTTCTCATTAGTTAATTGCTACGTTGCCATGCATCACCAGGCCAATGACACTACTGATTTAGTCTGCATTCTGTAATACATCGTTATTAAATTCTCAGAGCATCACTTTCCCTCCAGAAGTTCAAGGCACTCTGTAGAATCCTCATGGCAGTTTGCATGGTTAATTGGTGCGTAATTCCGTCAAGACCAGTCTTTAAGGCATTTGTGCCACCTCGCTGTCTTAGCCACCTTGGTGGAGAAGTGCATTGAAGCAGTTGATGGTTGATTATACGAGCAGCTGCGGTATCAGATGCATCTACATCGTTTTGTTCTCCGGATCAGCCTCATTCTTGTCAAGAATGATGCAGTGGCTGGCACTCTTTATATGCTACCGCATACACACGAAATGACTTTCCTAATTTGCACTCTCAAAATTAAAATATCCCATTTGCTCGGCATAAATCAAAAGCAAATATACAATGGAAAATTTAATCAAAAATCAATATTTCTCATCACTGGTTTGAAAAATAGAACAGATAGTATAATTATTTGCAGCCAAATGTATTGTTATCACTTCCTTACGTTTAAGCTTTTATGAGTAATTATGATGTTCTTACGTTGTTCATCATTTGTTTAGGAGAAAAGACTCCAACAGAGTCGAACACAATTGCAGCCGTGAGCTTCCTTTCCCATTGATCCATGAATAATGAAAATAAAACAACGTATGGACTAGTCGGTTCCGGCTGGAAGTGATTTGTCAGAGGAAACGAAACTGCTGCAGTTGATTCACGTGAGTAGTATCACGACCTCACGAACACATTCTGAGGCTGTGATAAATGCTGTGCTTACGATAAGCACTATCTCGGTTATTTGAGTGATGTTTATTATCACTTTCAGGAGATCCCTAGATGAATTTTACTGCATACATTGCCTTTTCGTATGTGTATTTATTTGCCGGCATCATCGCCTGTGCCATCAATGGTTTCGTGCTGACGATTATCTTTTTTACATGCAAGTTTACCAAGGATATAATCTTACTGATGGGTGCGTATTTTTTCCTATGTGATTGTGATGATTCTTTTTATTAATTATCATTATTAGGGCACGCATCATTATTACTTTGGTAGCGATCATTACCCCGTATCCAGTTCATTGGCCCGTTCAAAATACAAACGGTTTCTATACCATCCGCTCAAAAAATGTAAATCTATTCCAGACGACGCAGATACAGCCAAACGTTCAGAGAAACACTGTATATGAGAACGAGGTGTGCTGAAGGGTGTTCTCTAGAGCAAGCAAGCCCAGTATCAGTCTTTACGTCATTACAGCAAACCTGCGCATAAAAATAATATATTACTGTAATTTTCCAATTGAATGAACAGGGAAGAAATTTCACTGCTTAAATGGCATCATCGAGAAGCGCAGAGCTTAGTCGTGCAAAGAAAACAGCCAAGACATTTATATTTTGCTTCTATGTCTGGAGAGAGCTTTGGATCCAATACCAAGCACAAAAAACTTGGTGGAGTATGGGAAAGAATCTGGTTCCAAAAAATCTGTTAGGATTGTTAAAAAAAATGTACGACCGCCAAACGAAATTCCTTGTGAGAATTGGGGTTAATCGAATTTCAGCGCTACGCCCGTTTTCGATGACGACAGAGGGGATAATTCAATATCTGCCGGAAACAGCGGTGTGCATCGTCCATACAAATGAAAGAGCGCTTAGTCGTGAAAGCAGAGAATCCGTAGAAACAAAGCACGGATAAGTGGCCTTGAAAACATGGTATTAGGCTCAGAAAACGATTGGAATATATGACAGGCTATTTCGTCGCGAAAACAGAAGAAAATTCAAAGAATCAGTGAAGGTAACGTACAAGCCGCTGCCTCAAATGCAAGAATTCAAGCGTCTTAGTTCCGTGCGCCAAGGAAATGGGGAAATCCACAGTGGAATAGGAAATCGACGGAAAACGACAATGGCTCAAATGTAGAAAGTAATCGCGTACTGGGCGACAAAATGCTGTCCATCGTGGTAAATGGAAAGGCGTACAGAACGGTGGTTGAATTGGATAGGTATATCTCTAAGGAGCGGAATACTTGGCTAAGAAAGGAACGTGGACAACAGTTGAACCCCGTAGGAATGCCAATGCCCAAAATGAATGTGGTGTCAGCAGAGAGAAGACCACGTC